GGGAATGGAATGTCATCATCCCAACTGACGAACTCTCATATTTTTCAGAGGGGTAGGGATCAACCACCAAGCAGTTTTGTTTGGGATTTTCCCATGGAAATAAACCAAGCATTTTTGGAGACCACCATTTTCCTATGGAAATACCCTGGCCTTTGTCAATGGGGCTCAACCACCAACCAGTATTATTAAGCCATATTAAGCCTATACTATAGTTTACTGTTATCAATTATCAGTACCTACAGTAATTAACTATACTGTTATCTAATTAATGGTTGACAATGATCGTTATAATGGTTTGTAATTTTTTTAGATCATAAATCGACCAAGTGGATGGCTACATCCTGAAGAAACATATGGCAAGGAAGCCAAACATGGCAAGGACTCAGTTTGAAATTCTACTTTTATCACATTTATTATTGAATATTATATATTGGATTTAATATGATAAATGTTATAATCATTATATTAATATAAATATATATATATATATATATCATAATAAATATTATATATTAATATTATTATTGAATATCATTAGATTTAATATCATTATTTAATATGATTAATCATTTCATGTTTGTTACATTAGTTCTTCTTTCCAGTGCACCATTCTGGTTTCGGGGCTTCCGAAGCGACGATCGCGGGTTTCCGATCGCGGGTCCGAACCTGGACCTCGAGTCACATCTCCATAGGCAAACGACAACTCTGCACACCTGGCTGTGCATCCCACTTTTTGAGCAATTATATAAGAAGCGCATGCAATAGCGTGACAGAAAATTGGAACATCCCCAAGATACATTGTATAATGATATGTACCCTTTGGTAAACAAACAGTTTGCTATTGGAAATGGCCATAGAAATCGTTGATCTACCCATTAAAATGGTGATTTTCCATCTTTTTTGTATGTTTACCAGAAGGTATTTCAATGGGTTATAAACCGTTACTTGAGATACACATCCACGTCAGAGGAAAACGCACTTCAATCTGCGAAGAAAAACGCTGTGATGGGTCATTTAGCTTCCAGGTATATCAAGTGTCCACTTAGGCAAAGAAAAAAGATGCGGAAAAACATATGGCTATGGATCAATACCTATACCATTTTTAGGGGGATGAACATCCATTTACCAACTATTTTTATGTTCACCAGGGGTACAAGGTTTTGACACACTGCCATATGTGATTAGATGTCTATGGACAGATTCCACAGACTATAGGGGCTAATTATAGGCCATTAAAATCATGAATTTCGGGGCTCCAGGGGCTCCACCATAGATTCATGGACCATCCATAAGGCCTAGGTCTCCTGGGTTTTTTCGTTGAGTGAATGGCTGATTTATTTTCAATGAGAAATCCACCAGACATATCCAGAAATGGGGGAATAAAAATATTTGGAGGATCATCCCACGAATCACAAGTAGTTTACCCTCTGGTAATTTAACGTAGCTATGGAAAATCACCATTTTTGATGGGAAAATCCACTATAAATCACCATTTTCAATAGCTATGTTAAATTACCAGAGGGTAATAAGCCTGCTTAGTAAGTCCCCTTCTTCGTGGATTATCCTTAAATTAATGGCTGAAATCATGGGACTCCAGTTACTAAGAACTTAGTAAGTAGGATCGAGATCCTCCAAGTACAGGGTGGTGCCCCAGTTCGTTACCGTTCAGTTGGTTTATAAGTCCAATAACTATGGTTGGTGATATATCTATAGTTAATGGGATTATAACCCATTTATAACTTGGGGGGCACCACCTTGTAGAGAATTTCTCCTTTTCTTTTTTGGTTGGACGCCCTTAAGCAAATCCATGGTGTGATGGCCGAGGGAAATCGTTTTTGAGTGTCCAGCGTTTGCCACGTCTAGCAGAGGGAAGCCACGTCTTTACCCCAAACATCACTCAGTCTCCTTTTCGGCTGAACCACCATGGTTTGAGTGGAATCATTTGGAATCATTGCTGATTGGTGGTTTGGAACCATGGAATTTTATGACTTTCCATTCAGTTGGGAATGTCATCATCCCAACTGACTCATATTTTTCAGAGGGGTCGGCCTCAAAAATATGCAGAAAGTCAAATCCCACTAGAATAGTGGGCCATTGAACCTCTTCCATCTTTTTGGGGATTGAAAATCAGCAGATTCTTCGGGCTTTTTTTGTTCAACGAGCCATTTTGGATCAGAGCGTCCAGACCAGGGTCAACATCGATTCAAAGCACCAAAGATATTTAAGATATCTCTTTATGGATACCTAGATAGCGAAGTTTCCGCAAAATAACTTGGGTTAATGTTTGGGTTATTGGGGATATGACTTTGGACTATGGTAACCTAAAACGTTAAAATCTTTCTACGGTAGCATGAAGGCCGAAGGCCCTTCAGATCACTTTTTTTTGGGAAATCCGCACGGAAATCCACGACGAAGGGTGGGCGAAGCCCAGGAGATGCGTTCAGTTGGTGCGTTTATAACTCCAATGTCACTATGGTTTTTGTAGGTGATATTAATCGAACTAGTTATTGGGGTTTATAAATGTTTATAAACCAATAAACATAACGTTTGGGGGGGCACCACCTTTTTTTAGCCGAAGAAAAACATAGAGAAAACCACAGAAGCGTTAACAAAGCTGACGGCTTTTTTCATCCTGAAAATGATCCGAATCTTGCATCAAAAAGAACTCAAGCCGAAGATTTTTGCCTGAAAATAGGGTATGCCAACAACATAAATCCCATCCTCCGGAAATATTAAATATTAAACATCCCCCGGAAAGCATGGGTTTTTCGTCCGGGGGATTCACAGACAAAAATGGGGCCATCCAGGGGGTGTTCAGGAGGTACCTCAGCAAAGAGGTCGCTCGGTGAAGAAGTAGATCCATCCATCCATCCATCCATCTCTCCATCCATTCATTCGTTCACTCAGTGATTCACTGATTCATCGACTCACTAATTCATCCTTTCCATTCCATTCCATTCCATTCCATTGCGTTGCGTTGCGTTGCGTTGCATTCCATTAATGCCCTTCCATTCCATTCCGTTCCATTCCATTCCATTACAGTCCAGTCCATTCAGTCATTCATGCATTGACTGACTCTTGGACTCACTCAATTCATTCATTTTTTGGTTCAATGATTCATTGATTCATTGACTCACTCACTCATTGATTATTTGAACCACTGATTCACTAATTCATTCGTTCATTGAGTCACTGAATCATCGATTCACGTCATTGATTTAAGCTCTCGTAACCCCCAGCCATCCCCAGCACATCGGTAAAGGAATGCACGACGTCTACGCCAGGCTGCCACAATGCGCGGGTGCGGGGGAGATCATGAGAAATTTTAGGATTGCGAGAAAATCGAAACCACGGTGAAAAAAAAGGGTCCCCGACTTTGAGACAACACCATATAAGGGTGAAATTGTGGTTTTTGAACCCAGATTGATAACACAACAGGGGCACTCCATGAAGAAAGGCGTGTTTGGTAAAAACAGGTACTTGGTGGCTCATCCCACTTAGTAAGTGGGTTATAACCCCAGTTATAAATGGGATAAGTAGGGTTAATCCACTTATAACTGGGGTTATATCCCACTTACTAAGTGGGATCACCAAGTACAAACCACATGAACATATATGAACTATATCCATCCTCCCAAAAAGGCAGGTCAAAATATGAACCGGGAGAGTTCACGAACGGTCGCTCCCGGGCATTTCCTTGAGTTTACGGTTTCACGGCTTTACGGAGTAAATGAAACGTTCCCAACACATAATGATCATAATGTCTGAATGATTACCAGATTACCCTCTGGTAATGTAACAGTGTGGAAAATCACCATGTCTATATACTGTAATTGCAAATCATCGAAGTAAATAGGCCATGGCTTCCATAGCATACGGTGAAATTTCTGGACGCTAACTCCCCAATATTCCTTGGCACTTCAATCATCATTTTTGATGGTTAGATCACCTCGAAAAGATAGGAATGTGTTTTTCACATATGTTTTTCCCCCTTTACGATGAAAATTGGTGAAGGCCAGGTGGTTTTTCGTTGATTTTGCAGCACAGATTCACGAAAAAAGGGGACCTTGGTATCGTAGATCAGATCATGGCGATTGACTGTCCACATGTCACAATGTCTTGCTATCCTCATTGTTCTTCACCGCCGAATGGGGCTGATTGGGCTGATTTTCTCAGTCGACTCGACTGAATATCCCATATTTCTGCTACTTCAACCTTCATTTTTCTTTTCCAACATCTTGAAAAACACATCAAAAACATCATTTTTATCTATGTTTGCTGGTGATTTCATGTGATTCCCCCCATATTTTTTACCCAAAATTGTCTGCGGGAGGCCATCAGGGCATTGGCCTCCAGCATGAGATGTTTGAGGAGTCGGATAGCTTCGAAAGCACTTGGGGGCCGGTGATCAGCTGGTGATTTTTATAAAACCTTGAACCTTGGAAAAATCCTATCTTTGCAGATTCATGGCAGTTTCTAACTTTGACTTTTTGAGTTTTCTCGGGATTTGGGGGTAATAAAAAGTATTTATAGATAAGACTAGAATTCCAAGTAACTTGGCAAGCTGGGAACCAAACGGTGTATGGGTGGATGTATATATATATATAATTATATATATATCTGGGTAAATTATAACGACCTCACTGCGACCTCACTGGAATCATGGTTAGTAAGGGAAATCATCCCCAAATGGCCTTAATTCAGGTTAGTGAAATATTATAATTTACCCAGATATATACACATGTATTTTGTAGTTGTACATATTTGTCAGTCTTCAACATTTTCAGTTCTAAGACAGGTTGTTTGCAGTGAAATCTCACTAACTCCCCTCGGCAGCCCAACTCTGCTATGGCCACCTCGCTGCGACCTCACTGTAATGATGGTTAGTAGGTGTAACTTGTTCAACATGGCCTTATTTCAGTGAAATACATTGACTTATCCAGAGAAATCAATGTATGCTATGTCACATCTGCCAACATTTGGAGGATTCTTGGGTAGTTCAATGCTAGTGATGGCGGTTGCATGAGTGGTGCCCTTGATTCGCTCCAACGGCCCTTGCTTTCCGCTTCGGAGATGCGCTGGCTACGAGCAACGCACTGCTTAGGCGCGCCTTGGGTCGGAATGCACCAAGAAAGAGGGGGGCAAATTCACCGGGAAGTCTTTGATAAACAAACCGGTGGGGATATCACTACATATCTATTAATAGTGGTTATTGTATAGTAACGGTTAATAGTGATTAGTATGGTTAGTAATATATTATAGCCATATCTGGATATAAATCTGGGTAAATATTATAATTTACCCAGATATCTATGTATGTACAGTACATGTATACAACAACCAAGATTTTATCCAACTGCAGAATAGTCAGACAACATATCCTTCAATGCTATTCAATGCTTCTATGGGTAGACATGGGTAGACCCTTTTCCGCAAATATGAGGCATTCAGGTTCACTATTGGGCGTACCAGTTGGAAGCAAACCTTTGCAAGTCCTCAGTGCATTCAGTGCTCGTATCAGAACTGCAGTGCCCACCAATGATTTCAAAACAACCATTGCCCATTGCCAAATGATTGGAACCATTGGTTTGAATCTTCCGAATTTCCATCCTTGGACTACCCTCTAGTCAAACATTCCCAACTATGTCCCCATAAATCGTCATAAATCCCTGTTGTTTAGATCTATAACTTGAAAAAACATATTCTTTTGTTTAGATATATAACTCGAAAAAAACTTTTATATTAAGTTATGGGGATATTTTTAAGTTATAAAGTTTATAAAACTCAATCCCTATGATTTATAAAACTTCACTCATATTTTGTCCCATAATTCCTCCCATATAATAGGGGATATACCCTCTGGTTATTTAACATAGCCGTGGAACATGGCCCATTTATAGATGATTTTCCCAGCTAGAACCTCCATTTATAAGGGATTTTCCAGTTCGCTATGTTAAATAACCAGACGGTAACTTCACTGGTTTTGACCCATTCGGAGTCGTTGCGATTCGTGGTCGAGTGGTAGGTCTTCTGTTGATCGTGTTGGTGGCTCTGATCTGGGTGGCGGCCTCGCAACTCATCGAGCCTTGGAAGGCCTTGGAAGGCCGTGACTTTGATGGTGATTTCAATGGGGAATTAAGATCTGGTTGGTGGTTTGAATCCTCTGATTTATAGTGATTTAATGGTATTTATAGTGATTCAATGGGATATGAATGGGATATACCCTCTGGTAAACATACCAAAAACTATGGAAAGATCCACCATTTTCAATGGGTGAATCCACTATTTCGACTGGGTCATTTTCAATAGCTATGGTATAAATTACCAGAGGGTAACAGTTTGCTATTGAACATGGCACATTTAGTTCGTTGATTTGCCGAACTCAAAGATGGTGATTTTCCATAGCTATGTTAGTTTACCAGAGGGTATTTCAATGGGGTTATACATTCCATAAATAGGGTGACTGTCATCTGACTTATAACTTATAACTTATCCTGGGTTTGTTTAGTCGATGATGTCTGATTTTGCCAATGGGAAATCTACCATTTGGGGAAGATTTGATATTTTTTGGGGACGGCTTAAGCAAATCCAAGATAAATGGGATTATACATTCCATAAATAGGGTGACTTACTGACTTGTAAGCGGTATTTCGGGCCATAGCTGCAGATACATCAAGAAGTCGTTGTTGTTTTTTACTTGGTGGCTCATCCCACTTAGTAAGTGGGTTATAACCCCAGTTATAAATGGGATAAGTAGGCTTAATCCACTTATAACTGGGGTTATATACCACTTACTAAGTGGGATGAGCCACCAAGTAGCCATCAACAGCTCGGATATGGAGCTCTCATACATCACGTGTGGATTTGATGGGACTTCATGAGAATACAGCGGAATATCATGGTGTCATCAACCATAGCTCTGGATCAATGGGAATTTCAGGAACCTAAATTGGAGGTACCTACTATATATAAGGCCTATATAAGGCCTATGGACGGGAATATCCCCAGAAAATATGGCCTTATATGGTACAGTACCTCCATTTTAGGATCCTGAATTTCCCATTGACTGGATAGCTGGATTTTTTTATCCAACTTGGAGGTGTGCTGGGACATCAACGAATTACATGGTGGATTTTCCAGCAATGTTTGATGACACCAGAGGGTGGGGAACTGCATGGAAATTCCAGGTCTGGGGATTAGAATGAAAAACATTTTTTTCAGTCAACTTAAATCAATCATCATGAAAAACACTATTCAATAAAAACATTTTTTTGATGGATGATGATGATTGATACTGGGAAAGCAGAATCGGTACTTAACCACTTAACCATGAAAAAGTGCGGATGTTACCAACGAACATGGTTACCCTCTGACAATTTAACCCAGCAATGGAAAATGACCCGTGAAACTATAAGTGGATGGTCTACCTATTCAAATTGGTGTTTTTCCATGATAAAAGGCTAGATTCTAGATTACCAGAGGGTAGGAACTTATCAGAACTCCTGAAAAATTGCTGTACATTTATTGTGATCCCCAGCGTGTCACACATCCGGTAACCATTGGGAAACTTAGGTGTAGATCCCTGCGAAAAACAGCACATGTTTTTTTGGCGTGAAAAGGATGTTGGATGGGATTTTGGCCTACGAACAGATGTATTTGCTCGTTGTAACTCCAGTACTTAGCTATCTATGACTGTTGAAAAACCGTGGGATACTGGGCTGCAGATGGCTGCAGGGCCCGTCCAACTTTGCCTGCGAGGAAACCATTTTCAAAGATCAGTCCTTTGACCATCCATACTTCCTCACCTACTTCAATACTTGCGGTTCCTCAGCTACATTAGCTACATCACTGGAACATGGAACTCCCCCCAAAAAAAGGATTACCCCACCTAAAGGTCTCCCGCAACATTGTTTCGCGGTGATCAAAAAAAGCACCAAATTCATAGGGTTTGATTCCGCCGTGGTCGAATAAATGTGGCCTTGTCCGAGACTATAGGACACCATCAATGTGGGTTTGTAGTACCCTCTGGCCATGGATTTTTTGGCCCATTTATAGATGGTTTACCTATTAAAAATGGTGATTTTCCATTGCAAACGGTTAAATAACCAGATGGTACCAGAGTGGGAGCTTGACAAATTTTCTCCAAAAATTCTGGGTGTTCAAAAGCGAACTTTCCCCATGTTCCAATTGCCCCAGGGGTGTAGAACGTATATTTCAGGACCGCCTGACCCAAGAGACGATACCTGGGAATAACGAAATCGCCAGCACTTTCCGGTCAACCAACTGGATGGGTAGTTTCATAAAGGAATATCTACCTTCGCCAGCTACAAAACATGTGTTGCTTTTGCAGGGTATCTAAGATTGGCAGTGAATGTATAACTCCAATGATTAAACGGTTTATGGTAATTTTTATGGATGTTCATATCAGCGAATGGGCTGTTGTTTTTTTTTTTCAGGGGCCCACCTTGTAGAACAGATTTCAGCTAGCCCCAGTGCAACAGTGTCCAAACTTATGATGACTTTCTGGGGTTTTGGGGCTCCAAATCAGGCCCTTGGACGTCCCAGGTTTTTGAAATTTCCCACTGGGTAAAATGCTTTTTATTGGCTTTCCATCCCATTGGCTTTCCGTGGCTAGCAACATATATGTATATATATATATAACATATATATATAATATCATATTATATATATATATATACACATTATATATATATATACATAATATATCTATATATATAGATATGTACATATAATACTTAATAGCCATAACTGACTTTCACAAAGCGGTGGTTTTGAACACCACAAGCGGTGGTTTTGAACACCACCCGCGTTGTTTGTTCCCGCAGGGATCCGATGTTGTCCACGGAGTCCACGGTGCATCCCAGAAATTCTGAGGCAACAAAAGAAACAGTTCATTAATGGAATATATATAAATTGGGATATAGAAATTGGAATAAATAGAAACAGTTTATAGAAATAGAAATGGTTTATAGAAATCCCAGTCATATAGAAATTGGTTTATATAGAAATCCCAGTTATTTTTCTATATATATATCCTATTAATGGAATATTCTCCCCAGTGATATAGAAATTGGTTTATATAAAACGCTGATGAAAACGGGTTTATAGAAATTGGGATTCTTAATTAATTGGGATTTTAAGTGGGACAATGCGGTTTATCCCAATATTAATGTGGGATATACCACCTACCCTACAATAGATTAATGGAATATCCCCAATAAGGTGTTTAGCTATAGTTTAGTTTTACCACAGTGGTAGCTATAGTTAGTTAGTTTAGTTTAGTTAGATTAAACAGTGGTTTATCCATTAACCAGTTAGGCATTCATGTTTAACAGTTGATATCCCCTATAGTGTGATTTTACCCAATTATTATGGCAGTTAAACATGATTAATGGAATATCCCCTATAATGTGGGTAAAACAATGCCATAAACCATCCCCCAGTCATCTTTCCATGTTTTGTTTGGTGGTATGTTTTGCCGTTCCCAGTCGTGGGTGGTAAACATGACATTGTTTTACCCACATATGGGATGAACAAACTGGGTTATTATATGGATTACCCTCTGGTAAACTAACAGTTTGCTATTGAACATGGCACATTTACTTCGTTGATTTACCGAACTTTTCCAGATGGGGATTTTCCCATCCGTTTTTGGTATGTAGAAACCAGGCCGGGTATAAACCACGGATCCCCCAGCCGTGCCGAGGCTTCACTTTTTGGCTCCTGGCCACAGCTTGTGCCAAACCGGCCAAACCATCGCCGCCTGTCGATGTCTCTCAAGGCGCAGCTTTTGCCTCGGTGCGCGACGTGAAGTTTTCATGCCAGGTGAGCTGGAATTTTTCGGCTTGAAAAAAGAAGGCTTTCATAGGAAAATCATATGGTATATGGTGTATATTATATATATTTATACATATATATATACATATATATCTGGGTAAATTTAATCATGACCTCACTGTTCTCCCTCACTGGGAATCATGGTTAGTAAGGGGAATTATCCCAATATTGTCTTGATTCAGGTTAGTGAAATATTATAATTTACCCATATATATATATATATGTATATATCCAAAGGGGATTTAATGGTATATGATCATCTTCAAATGGGATTTCATGGTATATATGGTATATATATATATATATACATATATACTGGCTGGTGGTTTGGAACATTTTTCATTTTATGACTTTGCATTCAGTTGGGAATGGAATAATCATTCCAACTGACGAACTCCATCATTTTTCAGAGGGGTAGGTATACCATCGACCAGAAAATATGGAAAAAGAAAAAACCAATTGGACAAAAAACACTATACAGTAACTGGAGACTTGAATGGGAAAATTATCGAAGTAAATGCTTGATTTTCCAGCTAGCCATGTTTGATTACCGGAGGGTATTTATTCTGTAACTGTATATATTCTTGTAAAATATGTGCAAAACATCTCCAAACTATTTTTTGGGTCCTCAATAATTGTGAGCTATATATAGGTTTTCATAGGTGTGTAGATCAAACCAACGTTATTAAACATTTGGGCAGTGTTCAAAACCATTGGTTATACTGTGTGATACTGTGTGTGTTTTTTTTTTTTTTCGAAAGCGATATGCAGTACAGATGGTACTACACCTCAGCAGCAATATTCCCATGGCCGGTTATCTATTTTTTGCGGGTAGTGGTCTTCCATTGTTCTCTGTTTTCAGCAAGAGGGAAAAGGAGGTGAATATATTTGGTGGTATTATACCATTGTTTCATGCTGGTGGAGGAAAACTGTTTTAATTCAACAATGGTGAAATGGGTACAGAAGGAGTGGTGAAATCTGTATTTTTTCATGGTGAACTAAATAAATTTGATTCAATGGATTGGTTAAAAGGAAAGCCTGTAGGAAATCATTGTTTTTCCCCATCAAAAGTAGGGTTTTCCTGTAAATTTTCCTTTGATGACATGTTTGAGATGTGTGCTGGGTGGTACTCATCTGAAATAGTTTCCTCTGTTCAGGGTGTAGTGGGATGAGTATCCCTGCTTGTGACCCAGTGCTACAATTCAGGGTTGCTCCAACCTACTATATTCACTATAGGCTATAGGTAAATGATAGCCACTTTTGGGGTGAACTTGGCCAATTTACCCAATCGGCATCACGCTTTCCAAAGTATTGTTGGCCAAAGGAAGTAACCAAGGTTTATCATGGTTTATCTATTTGGGCATTTTTTTCACCCAATCTCCTAAACGTTTACCTCTTTATTTACCCTTCATGACCACCCTTCATGGACGGTCACAACTCGGGTCTTAGAGAGGGATCCTCTTATATAGGACCGTCTCTGTGTGGTACACTACACCAACTACAACTGCAGCTACAACTACAACTACGCTACTTGACACTACGCTACCCTAAACTACACTACACTACACGACCCTACATTACGTTACACTACACTCATTACACCACCACAAATGCAACTGCAACTACGCTACACTAATTACACTACACCACAACTACAACTCCACTACGCTATAACTACAACTACGTACAGCTGCACTACACCACACTACATCCAGCAGTTGTGAGTGAGGTGATCGACCAGGTGACCACTGCAACCATTGCAGCCATTCCAAAAAACAACACTCCAACCACCTTTCAGTCCATCAGTGGATTCGCTCTGCCATCCGTGATTCACAACAGCCAGTAACCAAGCTCTCCTATAGGTTTCCTATTTTTGAAACTTCCGCCGCCGCCTTGTGCGGTACTACTGGTACTATATCTTTCTGTACATATAATATGTCTTTTGTATGGTATACGTATGGGTTAAATACAACCTCACGGCGATGTAACTGGAATCATGGTTGGTAAGTGTAAGTATACCATTTGGTCAGTACACTCTTTAGATTTACCTTGAGATGCAAATATATATAATTATATAGATATATATATATATATGATATTAAGCAACAACGAAAAAACAACAGGGTACATAAGATTGTCAAAGGTAAATGTATCCAGCTGGTTACAGAAACTCCGCGCTAGGGGAGCAACTGATGAGTGAACAGGAGCTGCGCTGCGGGCGACTCCGGAAGTATGGTGCCTGGGGAGAAACGTGGTGAGCAGTGACCGGTTCACCCCTGTCGATTGGTTCTAGAATGTGGAGATATACTGTACTACCTGCAGTTCAAACCCTGTACGAGGTATATATAAATGGTTATGAATTGTTATATGTGTGGTTATCATTCCATAAATGGGGGGACCTACTGACTTAAAACTGGTATTTCGGGCCACAACTGTGGTATTCAACGAATTCTCATCCATTAAGGTGCTCTCCATCTCAACAAAGCAGTATCAGGGAGTCATATAACACTGTTGAGGTGATTTATGTGACAGACCCAATCTAGGTCATGGTGATGGGTCTGGTGTTGGTGATATCCAAAGTTTGAAAAATGGATATGAAAACATAGCTGGGTGTCCTAAGTCATGGCGGTACCCCCAAATCATCCAGTTGTCATGGATGACATTTTAGTAGACCTGAGGTGACCATTAGGTGAATCCCTTATGACTTAAGAACCCCCATTAAGAAAAAAGATACCTGGTACCTTTTGCGGCTTAAACATTTGGCTTCATCCCTGCAAATCCTGTTTTGAAACTCGCCATGGTTTATGGGGTGTATACACCAGTTTTAGATAGCCAAATTTGGAGTACCAATTTATAAGAAACTGCGTCTTTTTTCGTCACACGTCTCTGTTTGGCTGTCAAAAAAAGTGTACTTCTTTATACAAAACACCATTTTTAGACACACTCGACTCGCGTGCTTTCTTATTCTTGTTGAACTTGTCGAGGCACCTTATATCAATCAATGGATACCCTCCGGTGTCATTAAACATGGATTGCCGGATAATCCAGCATTTAGTTTGATGCGTTTCCCAGCGAACGAAGCCTGCATTTATGGTGGATTTCCCAGCTAGCCGGGTTTGATGATACCGGAGGGTATATTCCTCTTCTTATCCCAACTATGATCCCAACTGCATGATAAATCCAGATATATCCAAATAAATTATCACAAACCCGATAAATCCCTATTGTTGTTGGTTCAAACATAGCTTCTTCGGTTTTTACCAGTTGGAAATGGTGGTACACAACTCATCAGGCCGTGATAATCGCAGGATCGTTTGTGACGTTTGCTAAACTATGAGGCCCCAAAGTTAACAATTATATTTGTTATCTAGACGAATGTTTTTTAATGATTACTACTGTTTATTAATGGTTAATACTGGTTACCAATGGTCGGTGCGGCCCTTAGGTTCTCCGGGACCCACATGCCTTGAATGAAGCCCTTCATCATGAAATGTGTATTTTTGTATTGGTTTTTTCCAATGTTTTTTGTGTTGTTCCTGAAGCAAGTATCTTCAGTGAGTCTTCTTGTGTCGCGCGGACATTTCTCAAGAATGTCGGTTTAGAAAATCGAGAGTGTGTCCTCATCATTGTTTTTGTAACTCAACACACAGCAAAAACATTGCAAGGGTTGTCGATTTTGTCCACCAAGTTCACACTGTGTCCAAAGTACTGTGGGCACCATGCAAAATGAACATCCTTTCAAAATTAACTGCACATCCCCATGAATTTGGTGGACTGCACACCGACTCTGGGGTTGATAGTCAGCATTTTTTCTTCTTCTAGCGTCTTCACAAGTTCCACAGTGGTTTTTGAAAACGCTGTGTAGGATTTGCTAACCCACTTGAACCAGCCCCCCCCGTGCAAGAGAACTTCTACAGCGTAGCATCAAGAGAGTCTGAAAGCGTACAAGAGAACTTCTACAGCGTAGCATCAAGAGCGTCTGAAAGCGTACAAGAGAACTTCCACCGCGTAGCATCAAGAGCGTCTAAGAGCGTACAAGAGAACTTCTACAGCGTAGCATACAAAAGACTTTCTACAGGGTAGCTTCAAGAGCGTCTGAAAGCGTACTTCTACAGCGTAGCATCAAGAGCGTCACAAAGCGTACAAGAGAACTTCTACAGCGTAGCATCAAGAGCGCTTGAAAGCGTACAAGAGAACTTCTACAGCGTAGCTTCAAGAGCGTCTGAAAGCGTACAAGAGAACTTCTACAGCGTAGCTTCAAGAGCGTCTGAAAGCGTACAAGAGAACTTCTACAGCGTAGCATCAAGAGCGTGTTAACGAGTAACCAAAAAAAGGCAAAGATACGCAGGCGACAGAATGTTATTACACCCAAACCCCCAGCCCCCCAACCCAAAACCCCCACCCCCCACCCCCCCCGAAAACACAGCCACGATGTCAACGACCTGGACAACAATCGGCACTTGGAGAACCCCAGGGCTGGCGGGACAATGGTTAACAACGGTTTCAGGGATTTTCAATATAATAGCTATCATATCTGGAATGATGGTGAGCAAAAAAAAGGGAATTCGCCTCATTTCAGCCATTTTTAGGTTTTTAGGTTAGCGAAGTATAAGAACTCCGCCAGATATTGCCAGTGATCTCATTCAAAAAATAGCATTTGTCTCATGGAAAATACGAGCTACCTCAATTTATCGCATTGAAACATATTACCAGTTTATCTCAATTTCACCATGTGGAGTACTTCTATCTGTTGATGCAACTCACCCATTTTGATGTTTACGACCAAGTTTCCAGCTGCCTCAGTCGGATTATGAGGCCCGCAAAGTGCAGTTCCAGTTTTAAGTGGATATATAGCCATAGTTCTGGGGGTGGTATCCCAACTTATGCGGCCTTTTTCACCATAGTTATAGGGACCCCCGCATAGTTGGCATATGTAAAAAAACATCAAACCGCCATCTACGCTCAAAAAACAGCGAAAATGGGATATACAGGATTTAGGGGTTTATAGATGGCATACCCGACGGGATACTTGTATACTTGGCCTGTTTAACAAGTATAGAGATTTCTAGGTTGCAAAGATGGCACACCATATTCAGGGGATAATAATCTATATATATATAGTGCCTTAAGATGGCTTGTGCAAATCCCTACAAATAGAAGATTTTTGCATTTTGTCGTGACCCGATAGATGGCACACACTGAACCAACATATGAGGTTGAAATTTCATTGATGCCATCTTAGTGCTTGTACCGTTTGTGCCATCTATTCGGGGGCCCCTATACAGAGGGATACCACGCGTCAACATGCCACAACGACCGTCGGCATGCCAAAACGGTTGTTCCCGTCAATATGCCAAACAAGATTGTCTCCGTCAACATGCCAAAAGGGTTGTTCCCGTCGATATGCCAAACAAGTTTGTCCCCGTCAACATGCCAAAAGAGTATCCGTCGATGTGCCAACATGATGCAGTCCGTCAACATGCGAAGAATTTGTGTCCGTCGAAATGCCAAAACAACGTCCTATAGCGTCACAGTCCTTTGAACCCGGAAACTTCCGCCACCCGCCTCGCGCGGGTTCTACTTGTATTTTTTCGCAAAGCTTATATGTTGCATTCTTGCTCCACATCGCCTCCCTGAAATTCTATCGTACGGCATTATTTCTGACAAAATATCTGGCATTTTACTGGGCAATGTCTCGCTTGTGACTCCTGCTTGCTTGTGGCTCCAACGTCATCTCGCCTGTGACTCCAAAATCGTCATCATCATCATCATCATCATCTTCTTCTTCTTCACCATCATCGTCAGATCATCGCCGTCGTCATCATCATCATCATCGTCATCGTCATCGCCAACGTTATCCTCATCATCATCATCATCATCTTTACCATCATCATCATCATCATCATCTTTACCATCATTATCATCATCACCATCATCATCACCATCATCATCACTATCGTCATCATCATCATCAGCAGCATCAGCATCATCATCATCATCATCATCATCATCATCATCATCTTTACCATCATTATCATCATCACCATCATCATCACCATCACCATCATCACTATCGTCATCATCATCATCATCATCATCATCAGCAGCATCAGCATCATCATCATCATCATCATCATCATCATCATCATAATCATCACCATCATCATCACCACCATCACCATCACCATCACCATCATCATCATCATCGCCATCATCATCATCATCAGTATCATCAGTATCATCATCATCATTTCATCATTTCATCATTTCATCATTTCATCATTTCATCATTTCATCATTTCATCATTTCATCATTTCATCATTTCATCATTTCATCATTTCATCATTTCATCATCATCATCATCATTATCATCATCATCATCATCATCTTCACGTTCACCACCATCATCATGATCATCATGATCATCATGATCATCATGATCATCATCATCATCATCACCATCATCATGATCATCATCATGATCACCATCATGCAAAAACGACGTAATTGTGCCAGTCGACATGCCAAAACGACGTAAGTGCGCCCATTGACAGAATAGTAAAGTGTAAAATAGTAAATGCGCCCGTCGACATGCCAAAACGACGTAAATGTGCCCGTCGACATGCCCAAACGACGCAATTGTGCCCGTCAACATGCTAAAACGACGTAAGTGCGCCCGTCGACATGGCAAAATGACATGCCACAATGGCAAATATTTATATTGTGTTTTTTTGATTTCGGGGTGATTTTTGACATGTCGACGCGTGGTATCCCATTTCACCATAGTTACAGTTGTATACATGTATAAATATCACCAGCTGCCCCCCCAAGTATTCCTTCCATGGATTTTGCAGGTGCCATGGCTCTTGTGGTGGGCCCGGCATGGCTTGCAGCCAATTATCTCTTCAACTTGTCCCTGGACTATACCTCCGTGGTGCCAGGGCAAGACTTAACTTGTTGAGGAATCGAATCATGGCAGCACAGCCATGAGGAAAGTCAAACGTATAGCAGAACATAGCTTAGTAGAGCTTTATAGAACCATCAGACACAAGGATTTCGTGGAGATTAGTGTATACGTATGTATACGTATACTTGAATAATATAGATCATATATACAAGAAAATAGCAAGGCAAAATGGATATATCATCAGCATGGGTGGAGCAACTCGTGACAATTCTCTCGCCTGATGCCGCATAATCAAACGCAAGCTTGTCGGCTAATTAAGTGCAACGTGTTGCTGCAGTCGACTGGTGGCCAATGGACACAACTGTGAGCATTTGCTGCGTTCGACACTTGTGTTGGTTGATTATTATAGTCGGGCCGGGGAATGTTTTATCCAATCTTTTCGGATTAGCAGAATCCATGAGCTGGGAATTTGTTTCTGAACCCACCAGCATGGGGATTACCTAAAATGGGGATGACCCCAAATTATCCAAAGCCAAAAATAGACCAGTTCTCGCCTGCGACCAGCGCGCTGCATGCCCCCGTAGAGATGCGGTCGTTCGCCCAAACTGGTCGCCGGGTAGCCGTGGCTTTTACCAGTTTCTGAATCCATGTCTTGTAAATTTGCCCTCCCCGAAAAACATTTCCAGGTAGATCGATTGATTGAAAGACAGACAGACAGACAGATAGATAGATAGATAGATAGACAGACAGACAGGCAGATAGGCAGGTAGAAAGACAGACAGATAGATAGATAGTAGATAGGATAGATAAAAATAGAAAAGATTGGATAGACGGGATAGATGACGGGATGGCTTGGATAGATGGGATACATGGGATGTATAGATAGATAGATAGATAGATAGATAGATAGGTAGATAGATAGATAGATAGCTAGATAGCTAGATAGCTAGATAGCTAGATAGCTAGATAGCTAGAAAGCTAGATAGGTAGATAGGTAGATAGGATAGATAGGATAGATTAGATAGAAATAAAAATAGATGGATCAATAAATAAAAAGATAGATCGATAGATCGATAAATAAATATATACATAGATAGAAAGAGAGACAGGTAGGTAGGTAGGTAGATAGATAGATAAATAAATAGATAGATAGATAGATAGATACATTGGTTGACTGATCGGTTGATAGATTAATTAGATTACAAGATAGGTAGGTAGGTAGGTAGGTAGGTAGATAGAACGTATAGATAGTTGACCTTAGAATGGGCAATGGATTCGGTGCTAAAATGTATTACTCCGAACTTCAATGTTTCGGGCTTTTTCGCAGGCAACAACCACGATTCTAAGGCTTTACTGGCAATCTATTGTTTGGTGGGGGGCACTTTTAGTGGGGTTGGTGGGGTCACCTCTGACAATGGATGTCGCCTTTTGTTGGTTGGTTGAACCCTTGCCTGGGGAAGTCCCGGTCATCCCATGAATGGTGTGGGAATGACCATGGCCCACAATGATGGTGGTGGTCTTGTTCTTTCTATGTATATTATACATACACATATATAATTATATATAATTGTATATGTATATACACGAATATATGTATATTACATATACACGTAGATATGCAAATGCGAATCAAAACCAGGGTGCCCTGGACCCAAACAGTTGGCAAACGGATCTTTATCCCCCAAACATATGGAAAAATAGGGTTTGACCAGTCCCCACATGTATTATCATGCGCCACGGATGCTGGAATTTCCCAACCGGCAAGTTGCACACAGGGCGGTGAAGGGATGCTACGGGCTTTCCGTGGGTAAAAACCAACAATGACTTTGCTCCAATCGAAACGGTGAACTCACCGCGACCTTGCGAATTGCCCAGAAAATTCTCACATGTTTTAGCTGACAACTTACTTACTGGTGCCAAACGTAGGGAATGGATGGGAATGGGGGAATGGGATGATTATTGATAGTTTTTGTGGATCATTCCCGAAAATTCCCTACTAAGCATCAGTAAGACTTAACTGTCCAGTTCACCACACTTAGAAATTGGAAACCCCTCAGAATCGGAAGCGTGTTAACCATCCGTATTAGACACTTACCAGAGGCGCTGGCCCTTCAAATAGGTGCCTTTCTCAATATCCCTGTCATTTGAGCGCAGGACATCTCAAACCAAAATCATGCCACATTCATGGCTAGTCCGACCGGTAAAGGGGATGTTTTTTTTGGGGGGGGCCATGCGGGACCAGAAATATCCATAATAAATGGGGGAACAGTTAATATCCATTAATATCCATTAATTATGGTTATCCACATAAACAAATACCATAAATATCCCATAATATCATATCCAGTTCTTTTGTTTTTGCATGGTATCCGTATGTCTTCGTATGATTGTTGGTGAATTTCCCCATCTGTGTTGATGAAAAACCATAGTAAACCATAGTAAATTTCCCTTTCGCTGGTCAAATGACCCATTTCTGTTGGTTTTCAGAATTCGCGTCAGGATTTCTTGTTGGCGAACAAATCCATGATTTTTGATGGTTTTACACTCCATAATGTGTGGTTGTTGGTCCCGTGGCGGCCCCAGATCCCGACAGTTTTGAGGCATCCAATTCCATGTTCTCAACCACCAGCAACTTGTGGCCTGGACGTGGAGACACCAAACTTCAACATTCTATGGATGGTATCATGGTATAAATTTATAATGTATCAAAATGTATAAGATTCAATTCTTTTTGATGATCCACAATTTTTAGAGAGTACTGTATACAGGTAGCTCATAAATTGGACTCATGATTCCATGATATTTCTCGGATTGTCATGATTGATAAGGTAAACCATGTTAAACGCAATAATAAACCACCCCCAAATCATTATAGATGGGGTGGTATAAACCATCCCCAAATGGCAGATTTATTCGGGTTACCACATTTTCATAATCCACATATGTTTATCATTGTTAATCTCCACATTTGGACTAAAATTTAATAGGATATATTATAACGCGTTGCATCATTTTGATGAACAAATGACGCTTTGAACCATGGGGGTTTCGATCTTTAAAATTGATCACGGAGATTTCACCAGCAACCATGGGGATTATCATGTCATGTGTAGTTGGAGATTGTTTTTTTTTAATTAAAAGACACCAAAAAATAAAAGCCCAAAAGTTGAAGACTGGAACATATGTTTCAAAACATCATAGTCAACTACCATCGTTTTGTAGCACAACTTTTGGTTTCTTTTTGGGGGGTTGCCAGCCATTATTGAAGTCATTCGGTGTACCCTCACCGAGGGGTATGTGAAAGGGTCTATTTCTTTGCCAGCAGTTTAGGAGTATCATGTCCCACTTGCTTTTGGAGGGGTATCCTAAACATGTGGCTAGATGTTAAAACACATATTTGGGGTTATTAAACCAGTAAGTAAACTTGTGGCTAGTTATTAAACCAAGTTTGGGGTTACAACACACTTATTAACTGAGGTATCCAAGATTACTGCTGCTTCACCTTAGTTAATAAATGTGTTATAACCCCAGTTATAGCTGGATTAATTCTGTTGCCCTACTGTAACCGATGGGATCAAGACTCGAAAAAACGATTCCTGGCATCATTACAATCTATCCGGACATATGGGGGTTTCCTAAAATGGGGATACCCCAAAATGGATGGTTTGTAATGGAAAATCCCAATCTAAAATGGATGATAACTAGGGGTGCCCCCATTACAGGAAACCTCCGTATCATATCATCTATCGCCAGTAAAAAAAACAATGTTTCAGTATTATCAATCATGATTCAATGATGCGACATGATTCACCATTGCTAACTCATTGCTAAGCCGGATTTTCTCAGTGTTTCATACTGTGGATGGTTGCGAAATCCTGCATCACCAAAAGGATGGTTGAAACCCCAACAAAATAATGGGGTAACATTGGATGGTTGAAACCCTATAATTAAATCTAAATCATGGGAAAGCCGAGACAAAATGGTTTATAAACCCCATGAATACTATAAATATATCACCTATAAACCATATTGGAGTTATAAACCCAAATAATGGGATGTTTACCAGCGTTTTCAAGTGGTTTTCTTCGGATTTCGCTGGCCCATCCACTGCCGTCCTGTCCGTCCTCTGAGGTGGACCATGCTGTTCTCGGTGTGTTTTCTGGGAGAACGACTCAATCCATTTCATGTCCTTGCGGTGATTTTCACCATGGCAGGTGGGAAAAGTCAATGGAACAAGTCCAGAAAAGATCATGCTCTGCAGAAAAGATCATGCTCTGTTTCTATGGAATTCATCGTGTGGATGTATCGCTAGGATTCGTGAGAAATCGTGAAATAAATAACCACAATCAGGAGTCATAAGTCATACAAAGCTTTTTGCCACTCATTATCTGGCTGATCATATATATATATATACATATAAATAGTACCACCTCAAAAAAGAAAAATAAATATTCACGCTTTCGTATTGGATGTCACTTTTCTGCAGCTTTTTTCTGGGGTTTCAAAACATATTATGATGAGGATATCTGACTTTCACTAGGTTAACCGTCAGCCGCGGTTGAGTAGTGTGCGGGTTTCTTAAAATGGGACCCCCAACCAAGATAGGTCAATTTGGATGGGAACAGCAATGGTTTTGGAGTGCTCGAATTTCAAGACACCCCGAATGGAATGATGTTTCATGAATGTTGTGGATCGGCAACAAAACAAAACCTTTGTTTTCCCATTGTTCTTCCGCAGAATCTGGCACGTTTTTTGACGTGCCAACGTTTGCCGGGGAGGTTCTAGCTTGGTAGCTCTGGCGGATGCGGCCGATGCAGATGATGAACAGAAGTCCAGCTGGGTAGGTGGGAAAGCTGAAGAGCTGTGCGTTGCGAGTGTTGATCCACTTCCACTCCTGAAATCGTTGGTGAATTAGCAAGTGATCATGCTTTCTGCAAAGCAGAAGAGGAATCGGGATGTCATTTTGATTCAATCTGTTCTGAAGATTGGAGATTGACCTCCCAAAATGGCAATTGTCATAGGGGAAAGTGATGATCAAGCAAGCGATACCCTATTTTCAGACGAGCCATGTCAATTTGGCGAATTTGGTCAATTTTTAAGAACTTGTCAAGGTCATACTTAGCAATACTTGACAACTGAAGATACTAATATACACTAACAAGCTAAATGCGATGAAGCTGTTGCACTGTGACAATGGTCCCTGGGGAAGAGACGATGTGCGGACTTCCAGCCACAGACGTGAGAAAGGCACTATGAACGCATTGAAAGCCACATTCTGGCTAGATTGATGAACAACAATGGTCATAATGGTCCTCGTCAACGATGGTCATATGTCCACGGCCCCCTTGGGGCATCGGTCCCTTATTTATTTCCACGGGCGAATGGCATGAAAGAAACCACGCAAAATAAATGTATGAGTGTTTCGCGTACATTCTAGACATACATTTCATTTTAGGTAAACTGATATTCTATAATCATTAACATTATTTACCATTAATTTACCTCTCACATATCACACTGGTTCTCCATGTCCAAAAACACCAGGGGCGCTTTTCGGGCTTTTCGCCAGGCGATGGCTTAGCCCTCGTTTCTGCCTGCATGTTCCTTGGATGATCTGATTTTTTGTATATCATGAATCCACGGTTGAGAGAGTTCTCATGCTACGCAAAACATATATTTAACAGTTATAACAGTTATAACAGTTGCAAAGGGCTTATGACTAACAGTTATAGCAGTTTTTTGACAGTTGCAAAGGGCTTATAAAACTATCATCATGTCATGGTAAAAATGGCATGTTTTTATGGCTTTTATGGGATGGGATTCATGGGATCATGCTATCCATTCGTGGGATTGATGTTATGGGTGGGGATAGTGTCACAAAGCCATAGTGCGGATGGTTTTATAATTGAATATTTTTTTGCTTTACATATGTTTACAAAAAATATGAAAAAAGGAAGTGCGTTCAGATGCGTTCAGGGACCCAGGGACCGACGCAATCCACATTGCCATGCTACCTGCATATTCTTGTGCACAAGATTACACTTGGTGGTTCATCCCACTTAGTAAGTGGGTTATAACCCCAGTTATAAGTGGATTAACCCTACTTATCCCATTTATAACTGGGGTTATAACCCACTTACGATTCGTGGGATGAACCACCAAGCACAACTCCCACCATAGACACTGGCTGAAAATTTTTCGATCTTAGATGATCTTTCCGTATCGAAAGACAATGAGAATATCGACCATTTCCCAACATCTTGTTCTTTACCCGGTACTTTCTAACCGTTTGCGAAGTGGACAGTCTCCATTTTAATAGATATAACATGGTGTAAATAAATGGATACTATATGGGCATTAATTTGATATAGTGCCAACTGATTCTATTCATTTATATACATGGTATAAATGGTATAATTATAATTTTAATCATTTTAATTAATATACAATAATATACCATATTTTATAATATATATGTTATACCATGTCATACCATTTATGAATGACCATAATATACGTACCATTAATTATATACCATTTTATACCATTTGATATATATTTTATATACCATTACCAGCAATATATGACCATTTTAAATATATTTCAATTAATGAATTTTACCATGGCATTCGTATTCGTTTTCCATGGGTCAACTGGGTTGAGTTCGGTCTCCGAACCTTAGATTTGACAAAAAATACGCCATGAAAAGCAGCTAAAAGATCGACTTTTTGGCAGGTATCTTTCAGATTTACCATGGACATGTCTTAAGAATTCTTTGCATGGACATATGAATTTAAGTATAAAGACAAGTAATTATCTATTAATTGAATTAAATTCAAGATTTATTGATATATATATATATTTAAGTCATTATTTGTATATGACTGCGCTTGTTGGGTACCCCATCAATTTCTCCATCTTGATGTCAGGTACGGAGCATACACTGTGCTGCTGAAGTCTTTCGTCCTGAGTTTCAGCCTTTAGCCTTTTTTCAACAGCAAGAAGATGGGGTCCCCAGTCGATAGCCTGAATTCTTGGTTTATAAATGGCTGAATTCTTTGGTTTATGGTAGATATAACGAACTAGATAACTATGGTTAATGGGGTGTAGAATATGGGGATAGAAGTGACAAATACTGCTGTAATTTGGGAATCATAACTTTCCACTAACTAAGAATAATAGGGACATAATTTGGGATTAGCCAAGAATATCTGGTTGGTGGTTTCACACACGGCTTTTATTTTCCATAATATATGGGATAATCCTTCCCATTGATTTTCATAGTTTTCAAGATGGGTAAAACCACCAACCAGATATAGGTTGACGAGAACTTGAGATTAAACTCCCCTTGACATCTTGGCGACGATCATCTGCGATCTGCGCGATGCCGAACAGAAGCTATTGAAACAATAAAAGGATAGACGGTTTTGAACACTCAGATGGAGACATATACCCTCTGGTAATTTAACAGTTCGCTATTGAACATGGCCCATTTAGTTCGTTGATTTACCGAACTTAAAGATGGTGATTTTCCATCGCTATTTGTATGTTTACCAGGCCGGGTAGGACTGGCTGTAGCTCAGAAGGGAATAAAAAGAACTGGGTCAACGTTTTTTATGGGTAGTGATTTTATCATGGGGATATATATGTTATATGTTCAACAAAACATGAATGAACATGAATTAACCACCCGATTTTAGGGGATCTAATTCTGACTCCATAGATATATATATAATATAGGAAACCAGAATGCCCGGAGAGCGTTCTCTCCTTAGCATCATGCCTTACACAGTGACGGCTTAGCATAGTTTCCGAATACCATCTTTGCCCACTGGAGGGTAGAGATTAGGCAATCTCCAAACACGTTTCCATCAAACCATCTGCCATGCCTCTCGTCTCCTTGTGTCTCGTCACACCTGAGGCATTGTGTGCCAGAGAACGAGGAACGACTTGCTATGCCCACTCTGTCTGGGAACCAAACTCTATCCTCAATGGACTGGTTTAAGGGAAAATTTACAGGAGAACATAGATTTTCCCATGGAAAATATGGGGTTTTCCTGCAACAAATTCCCTTAAACCAATCCATTTTTCTAGCCTGTGTTTTCCATGGGAAAATCATCCGATGCCGGAGGGATTTTCCAGCGGCCCTCCATGGAGATGACACCGGAGGGTAACTCAAAATTGGAGATTTCTCCGGCCCATTCATCGAGGAATTTCACCAATGAACGGATCTGGGTTTTCTGAACATGGGGGATGAATCGCCAACTGATGTGTTTTTTGGGTTCAAGGCTTCGAGCACTTCATAATTATCATACCGTATCGTTAGTCAAGGGAAAATCCACTATTTAGTTTTATTATTTTCCCATTGAAACACGATTCATCTGTTTTTTTGACTGCCACGTTTGATGACACCATAGGATATAGTATATACTTATTTGATATTGGAGTATTGTGAAACGGTGAAACGCCCAATGATTTGGCATCTTTTGGCTATCTATCCATGAAAGATGCGGTAAAAATTGCATACACTACATGTCTTCTGGGTAAATTATAACAATCTCACTGCGACCTCACTATCATCATGGTTAGTAAGGGGAAACATCCCCAAGATAGCCTTATTTCAGGTTACATAGTGAATTATTATAATTTACCCAGATATCTTTTACTGTCTGGTAATCTAAGAATTTGAGAACTGATATAGTATGGATCGCCCATGTGTAGATGAATTGCCTATGAAAATGGTGACTTTACATAGCGATGCAACAAATTACCAGAGGGTACCTCCTGTGTTTGTTGACCAGTCATCCATTTATGCATGTTCATTGTATACTGTACTATGATACCGTGTTTAGCCATACACAGCCACTCTCGGATATTTTCAGGGCAATAAAGATCAGACTTACTTACAGGGAAATTGTTGTACGACAAATCACCAAGCCATTGTTGCTGAATCATTTTCTCACTTGTTGGTGGATCTACTGTATATAATCCTTTTCGGATCTGAATGGTATACTCCCATCTTTTCGCAGCTGTCCATTGAATTAGCAAGGTTACGTGGGGGTTGTATCGAAACAAATGCAAGGCATATCATCCTGTTAGCCGATGATTTTCATGAAATATCCTCAGCCTGCGGCACACCCTGGGTCCACAACCCGAAGAAAAATGCCGAAACGTTTTGGAAAAAGAGGGAAACGATGGCCGACACGAACTTTTAACATGGAAACACAACTTTCAGCATCTTTCTGTGGCTTGCTGATTCTAACTCGATGTAAACTACTTCCCCAGGCTAAATGGATTGAGTATTTCAGTAGGGGGCCCACATTCCCGTTGCGTTGCGTTGAGACCCTGTCTCAGTTTCACAGAGGTTTGGCTGCATCGGCCTGCTGGTCCTGGTTTTTGGTTGGCCTCTGCTGCTACTCTTCGATCGTATCGCTTGGGAGGTCGTGGGCCACGGTGAAGCCGAGAAATGTGACGTGGGATATGAATGAACATAAACCATATCATCCAACAAAAACCTGGGGATATGCGAGTAAACCAATTGCTGCATGGTGTTTCTTATTTATTTATGTTTTAAAATGTTGTTTCCATAGTGGAATGTGTCATACCGAGCTTTTTAAACGGCCTGAATTCTGCAAGCGCATCTACGTTTAGCCATAGTAACCTGAAATACCATCAATTATGAACAAAGAAAAAATGAAATGCTGAGTGGGAAGAACACACCTGAAAGGGCTTTACACTTCTACATGTTAGATGACGGTAAGGGTGTTCACTCCCTGGTGTTTAAGGTGTTGATTCAGTTCTCGCTTGGCCACATTTGGCTCTAGTTGCTAGCTAATCATTTTTTTTGCTGTCTTTCGCTTGCTTGTTTGCATGTCAGAGCAACTAGAGACAACACACACTGACACTGGAAGATTCTTTGGGTAATACACATTTCCACGTGAGTGATGAATGTATGGTTCGTGCCTCCACCAAAATGGCTGTTTTTTGTCCCGCGATGGTCTCAAGTGTCTCAGTCGTGATGTCCTCGAGTGAACAGAAACATGAGAACGTTGGGTAAACCAGAGAACAGGCGAAATAATATTGGACAGTCTCAAGTTTAAAAACTGAAGCCATTTTGAAACACACGCAGGTTTTGAAAATAAAACCCAAGTCAATCTATATATCTATGACAAGGTGGCTGTGCCCCCTTATTTTCTTGCTCGACATCACGCTTTGGTGCTTGAATTGTGATATGAATACAAAAGGTTATACTGCTAGAGGAAATGATAAGAACCCGCAAACTGCGTCGATCAGATCACCATACATACCAGCCAGTTGTCCCATACAATAATTACTAATAATTAATCATTGAACCTGTCATTATTGTTGTTGTTTCGATTGTTTCGATTGGCTCAATCAACATCTTGGCAAATTTCATACCCTCTGTGGCTCAACTTCCTACAGTACTTTGGTGGGACAACATATCATTTTTTCGCTGGTTGAGCGCTTCCCACCCGTTGCAATCCCCGTGATGTTGGCTAGCGGCTACACCAATCAGCCATCACCATAAGTTACTATAATTATCATTAATTATCTATAATTTACTCATGTTTGCCAAATTCGCGGACTGGATCACAACTTTTTTGGTTGTTTCTTGTATTTTCCTTGGCTGTTCACGCTTATTCAAAACAATGCACATCCATTTCATGTAAATCTTATTCCCAGTTTAATTGGTACCATTCACTCACACCTTCATATTGCTTATGGGTCAAAATTGAGGCAGAAGGTTCGTCAACCCATTTCCCGGGGGGTTGTGATTTGGACCATTTTGGACATACAGGCAAGAATCACAACAACTACCATCTGGTTATGACTAACAGTTTGCCATGGAAAATCCAACCATTTTATAGCTAGGTAAACCATCTATTTCTATGGGCCATCTATACCATGGCTATGTTAGTCATAACCAGAGGATACTAGGGATTGACGACCCATTTTCCGTTGTTTCATTCAGCATTTCACAAGTAAGACATGGTTAAAGCATGTCAAACACATGGTTAACAAGACACGATATCTGGTGGGTTGTACAGCTACATGGGATTCACATCGACTTCCTGGAAATGAGGTTTCCAAAGTTTCCATGTTCATTGCTTTTACTCAGCCCTTCGCAGGTAAAGATATATATTTCCAATATACATATATACATATACATATACATATACATATACATATACATATTGATAACATACATATACATATTGATAATATACATATACATATTTCCAATATACATATACATATACATATAAACATATACATATACATATACATATAAATATACATATACATATTGATAATATACATATACATATTGATAATATACATATACATATTGATAATATACATATTGATAATATACATATTGATAATATACATATACATATACATATACATATACATATTATAATTCATTAATGTTTATGTTCTTTTCGCTTAAATTCTCGCCAGGACTTCGCATGGCCCTCGAGATCTGTCTTGGGAACCCTTTCGATCAATGTGTCGTGGTGGCCACGTTCTTCAATGTTTTTTTTCACCAAGCTGGATATCAATAGTACACTCAATGCTTATTAACAAAGAAACAAATGGATGTGATATATATATATATATATGTGGTATATATATATATTTATGTGACATATATATATATATACATATACTACATATACATATATATATATATATGTATTATGGGTTTGGGTCAAAACCGTTTGGTCAGATGGGCCTGCTTTACCGTAAGTCATTGAGTCATCGGCATCGCCAACATGATCAAAAACCGAGTAGTCGACCAAGACATGATGAGTCGAGCAACCCTCTGGTAATTTGTTGCAGTTTGCTACTTGGGTGTTCATCCCACTTAGTATCTGATAGTAAGTAGGTTTTATAATTTTTACATGGTTTTTATAACATGTTATAACCTCAGGTGGAAGTGGAGTGAGCCTACTTATCCCACGGCCACGACCAGAGATGTAATCTACAAAGGTAAGTGGGTAGTTCGCCACCAAGTATGGAAAAACTGAATCTTTATGGTTGGGAACTTCTCCAAGTGCAGTTCCGGGTTGGTACAGTTCCGGTGATCAGTTTCGGGATCTGTGGAGGTCTCATTTTTGGTGGAGTCCAACCACATCAACCACATCAACCACATCAACCACATCAACCACATCAACCACATCAACCACCAACATTGGGATAAGGGGAATATAAAAAACATTTAAAAACTATGGAAAAACTATGGAAAGATCCACCATTTTTTTTTGAAAACTCACTATTTCGACTGGGCCATTGAAAACAATAGTTTACCCTCTGGTTATGACTAACAGTTCGCCATGGTATAGATGGCCCTAATCGAAATAGATGGTTTACCTAGCTATAAAATGGGTGGATTTTCCGTGGCAATGTTAAATAACCAGATGGTATAAGGATGTATAAGGAATTATCAACCACCAACCACATCAACCACATCAACCACATCAACCACATCAACCACATCAACCACATCAACCACATCAACCACATCAACCACATCAACCACATCAACCACCAACATTCTCGAGGGTATCCCAAATCAACAAAAAGGATCTATGGCAGTTGGGATCATCATCGGGATAGGGGGAACTTACCCCAAACTACATGGAGGTTGTAGTCGGAAAATCATCAATAAATCGCTCCCTAAATTCAAGATGGACCCTGAAGAAGGGGATTCCACACGTGTTTTTACATGTTTGACGACGGCCAAAAATGGGGCTCCATGTTGATAAAGTCCCACGACAGGATCTGTTCCAAACCCACCTGTTTGCTGAAACGGTGCATGTTTGGTGCGTGACCCCATCTTTGTTACTGTTTGTTGAATAAACATTACTTCTACATGTTTATACTCAAATATAATTCCATTTTTCCTGAACCCATCTAAGTTAAAATTAGCGGTATTGCTTTAGGGATCTGCACCAGTCTTGGATTCTTGTGATCTCCAAAGACACTCCGGAGTGTCCTACCCATCTCAGACTGGCCATAGCAGCCATTTACCAAACTGGTTGAGGTTGGTTAATACCTCATGCCTGCTGGTTCATCTTACCAAGAATTTGTCCCTGAATCTTCATGGAACTTCCTTTTTTCTTACTGCTGAAACCCATATGTTTTCTTGATTAAAGCATGTTAAGCACTTTTTTCTGCAGCTGATCTCCCATTTTCTCCCAAACAAAATTGCTGAATCTCTCAGATTTCCTCCGATTTCCCATCCAAATCCTATGTTTTCAATACTGATTGGTGGTTTGGAACATGGCTTTTATTTTTCCATTTAGTTGGGAATGTCATCATCCCAACTGACGAACTCCATCATTTTTCAGAGGGGTTGAAACCCCAACCAGATGAGAATTTCTTGTGGATTACCAAAGATTGACCATGTAGCCAATTTTTTTTCTGGATATTTTTGGATCATAATCCACTGGGACATCCCTCAACCAGTTGGCTGTTTACCAGATTTTCCCATCTTTCTGGTGGGTTTTTCCCATGATTCCATTAGGCCTTGGTCGGCACCAACTTGAGCGACGTCCTTTGGGCCTACGCAGTACAGCTCACTACGCCTCTGACGGAGCCTGGGTCCTCTGGGTCCTCCAAAAATCGTGGCTTTCAACATGAGTAACATGGTTTGACATGGATTAAGTAATGGATGTTAACAAAACACGGTTAAGATGTTTAATAATTCATGGTTTAACATGTTTTGACATGGGTTTAACAAAGGTTTAACATCCATTCATGTTGGTAAAACAATGTCATGCAAACCATCTCCAAACGGTGGTGTTTATGGCCTTGCTTTACCATCCATGTTTTAAAATGCCAAGTAATGATACCACGTTTTGTTAGCATGTTAACCATGATTAAACATTGTGTTTAACAATGATTTGATGGATGTTTTTTACGATGATAATTAATATAAGATTGGATTAATAACATTTAGGCAATGTTATTTATCACCATATCAACTGTTGGCTGGTAATGATTTAATGATTTATACTTTAACTTTTTTATGATCCAAACTTAACAGCTGATACAGTTGGGTTAATATTACAGTTGGGTTAGTATCCGTTAATTTTTATCCATGCATTAAGGTAGTTGGGTATCTATTAACTGTTAGGCAATTGATTATGGCTAAACTTAATAATAAGATTTACGCAATTAATTGTGGATATCATAACCTATCGTGGTTTAACCATTGGGTAAATCAGCTAATTGTTGGGGCATCCAATTAGGCTTGAACAATCGTTAAATCTCATGGGAACCAGCCAACAGTTGGTTTAATCATTAGGCAATTGCTAACTTCTGGGGAAAATATCATGTATCTAATATGATCCTTTTAGCTCTTTATTTGCCAAATTTTCCACCCAAACTTGTATCTGGGCTGTTGGGAGCAACCCTGATACATAAGCAGTACATACGTTAGGGGACTCCAATTTAGGTAATGTGGTAAACACAAAAGCATAAATCACAGCCGTCACAGCTCATCAGTTCAACTTCACGTTTTAAAGTGGGGGGGAATCACATAGCAAACTTGCAAAATTGCTTGGGGTTCTGCTTTGGGCTCACAGCCCATTGTCTTCTTCCTGTCAGGTAATAATTTACCCTCTGGTAAAAAAAATAGACCCTGAAAATAGACAATTTTTAATGGAAACTAGTCTTCCAACCCCTATCTGCCAGGGTATATGTTAATTTACCAGAGGGTACAATGTTTTTTATTATCCGGATTGGACCATCATTTTTCTCCACATATTTTACAATATTGGAGAAAGGGATAGCGCAATTGGGAAAAGCCTAGAGATATATTGGTATATATAGATCTGATACATAGATATAAAGATACACAGATATATAGGTATATAGGTATATAGATATAGATATAGCACTTATGTATAGCGCGCCAGTTATTTTGGTGGCATCTGGTGGCCAAATCCATTGATCCACCGCAAATTTTCATCGACCTCATTTAGTCATCATGAGGATAGCAATAGGATATCCTTTGTTTTCATGGTAAATCATGGAAAAACATGAGGTTTTGTCCCATGCAATTGGGAACAGTATCATCTGGTAAATAGAATCGTCCCATGTTGGACAATTTCTCGTGTTATTTCTCCAGATTTACTATTTGGGTGGTGAATTTCTTGATTTCTGCCGAAAACTTTTCTGAATTTTTCTGACGCTTCCTATTTCGCAATCCATTGATTGTTGGCTTTGCCACATAAGCCATGCGAAAAACCCTTGTTGGTCGGTCATTATAACATTATACCACCTGCAGGATGGGCCCCCCCAGTTATAAGTTGGTTTATAAACTCCATAAACTATAGTTATCTAGTTCGTTATATCTACCATAAACCAGAGTTAATTGAGCCACTTTTCTGTTCGGCAACGGTTCACGCTATCGGCGGGCCCATCCTGTGGCTTAAGATATTCCCAGTCAACAGCCAATGAAAAAATCTTCATCGATATGTCATTAATTCATCTGAAATGATACCTAAAAAGTATCAATACAAGTCATAAAACACAGTTATTTACTCTATGTTCTCTATGTTTTCCTCGTTTTCCTCCATCTTTTCCCTGGTTTTCCTTCCATTTTGGCGGGTCGTTTTTTCCCCAGGCCACGTTGGGTCTCTCACTGACGGTGCCCTTTGGGATGATCTCGGACGCGCTGCTGCGAGGCAAAAGCTTCGATGCCCAATACATCTTGGGATCTCTGTTGGTGACTTGGCAGCAGAGAAAGAATATGGAGGTTTCCTAAAATATACTATATATACCATGATAAAATCATCATATCTGGATATATATATATCTTGGATAATAGGATCCAGCAGAGAAAAAATAATAGGATCCAGATAGGCATAGGATATATCATATATATATATATATCATATATATATATACTACCTGCATGGAATCATATATATATATATACTATGCTATAATATCATATACTTGGCAGCATATCCTGTACATGATAGTATATGATAGTATATGATAGTATATGATAGTATATATATATATATCCAGATACTTCCATCATATTTTCATATTTCCAGATATGATGATTTTATCATGGTATATGGAGGTTTCCTAAAATAGGGGTATCCCAATAGCTGGATGGTTTATTTCATGGAAAATCTTATTTTATAATGGTTTATAATGGAAAATCCTTTCTATATAGCGGTTGATAAAGGGTTATATATGGTTATATGATAATTGTCAATGGTTAATGGCATATTAATGGTTAATGGAAAACCATTTATACGTGGATTTTTCAAGGTTAGATGATGTTGATATGGCTTTCTTATCCCAAGATGTATTGGGCACTAGTGGTATTGGTGGTGGTATATAGCACTAACCATCTTATACCCTTATCAACTTATACCACTATACAACACTAACCATCTTATAGTGGTATATAGTGGTATAAAATGGTAGTGGTTGATAAGGATTCTATAGTGTTCTGTTTCCTAAGGCATGAGAGTGGTGGTATATAGTGGTGAATCTTAAACACAGATATTGGTGAATAGCAGTTGCTAAGGGGTTGTATATGGCTATGTGATAATTGTTAGTGGTTAATGACATATTGATATATGGAGGTGTCCAAAGTCATGGGGGTAGCCCCCAATCATCCAGCCATGGATGACCATGACTTAGTGGTCTTTCACCCATGATGACGACTGGGGCCCCTATTTTAAGAAACCCCCGCATAGATTACTTAGATGACTTGACTTAGATGTACAAAAATATCATCAAAGGAAGTTTAGTTAAAACAACTTCCGAGTTACGGACGATGGCCTCTTTTAGCATTCACACCATCATGTCAACAACATCATCATGTCAACAACATCATCATGTCAACGACATCATCATGTCCACATCATCATCGCCGTCATCACCATCATCACCATCATCACCATCATCACCATCATCACCATCATCACCATCATCACCATCATAATCATCATCATCATCATCATCATCCTTGTCGTCGTCATCATCATCATCCTTGTCGTCGTCATCATCATCATCATCATCATCACCATCACCATCACCATCACCATCATGATCATGATCATGATCATGATCATGATCATCATCATCATCATCATCCTTGTCGTCGTCATCATCATCATCATCATCATCATCCTTGTCGTCGTCATCATCATCATCATCATCATCATCATCAAGTAGTTGGGAAGTGTATACCGCGTGAATTCGTGGGTGAAAACACTCTCGGGCGTGAAACCCTGTGTTTTTTTCGGTAGAGTGGCTCCTGGGGTCGCCGAAGTATAGGATCTCTGTTTCCGCGGGTTCGGGGCTCGATCTGGGAAAGTTGTCGACAAAAAGTGCACAGGACTGCAGCGAGAGCTCGATTCGCACTTCAAAATCGCAACTCTTGGAAGATGAGGTCGGTAAAATGTGCACGAAACTGTAGCGAGAGCTCGATTTCAGAAGACAAATGTTAGAAAAATTAAGAGGCGTTCAGAGCAGCGCGGAATCGTCCATTGTCAGCGCTGCGCAAACGAGGAATTGGGTTGCAGAAGCTACAGGAGAGCTAGCTGGGAGGCAGCTCAGAGCAGAGTCGGGGAAGAAGTAGCCCGGATAAGTGGCTGCTCAGAGAAGAAGTCGCTGATAGAAGAGGTATGTCAGTGAAGAGGTCCCTCAGTGAAGAAGTAGTTCAACAAAGAAGCAGCTCACCCGTCCATCCATCCATTTCCTTTGATTTTAGGTTCATTCTCATTTCGTTTCTCTCTTTTTCATCTCACTTCCTTTCATTTCATTTTCTTTTCATTTCATTTCAGTTCATTTTCATTTCATTTCAGTTCCTTTCATTTATTTTCTTTTCATTTCTTTTCATTTCAGTTCTTTTTCATTTCATTTCAGTTCCTTTCATTTCATTGCGGGTCATTTTCTTTTTATATAATTTCACTTCAGGTCGTTTCATTTTCATTTCATATCCTTTTCTTTACTTTCCGGGCTACTATGTCCAGGGCTGGGTGGACCCAAGCGGCACCTGGCACGAGCTGGAGCGTCATTTCCAGAAGTAGTATATACGTCAGTTAGATCGTCATGTTTTTGTCTAGCCACGTTCTGAGCAGTGTTACGCGCAGGCCAGGAGGTGGCCGCGCGCGTCCTCGCACTCGCAGGGGGCAGCGCGCGCAGGCAGCTGCTATTGTTTGATGCAGGGAGTTGCTTGAAAACATATGCGCAGACATACAAACTTGCGTCAGAATGGTTATATCATCTTCGCATTCAATACCACATGAAGGTGCCTATCTGGTCAAAGAGAAGCTTCTGGATGGAATATTCTAGATCAGTCACTCTATTATACAGCCCGAGCGTTTTTTAAGAATCCGAAAGCTTGAGGCCCAGGGCCCCTCAAATTCTTATTTTTAAATGCAAGCAAAATTAAACCACAAGAGGCCGAGGGTCCCTCAAATTCTTCGGGCATTCTTAGTTATGTATTGCATGCATCTGCACAATTTGGAGCGGGCTTAAACGAGGTAACGAGGTGGAGTTGGCAGATTTGACAAGAGGCATGCGATTTTTTTTTTTTAGAGCCTGAAAAAAAAAATTGGCAAAGCCGGGCTTATCTGAGTTTCATGAGAGCAGTGCGGAAAAAAGCAGTTTTCTAGAGCCTGAAAAATTGTTTTTTTTGCAAAGCCAGGCTTGTCTGAATTTCATAAGGTTAGTGTGCAAAAGACAATTTTTTAGAGTCTGAAAAATTGATTTTTTGCAAAGGTGAGCTTCTCTGAGTTTCATAAGAGCAGCGTGGAAAAACATGTTTTTTAGAGCCTGCAAAGTTTTTTTTTCTGCAAAGCCGGGCTTCTTTGAGTTTCAAAGAATAGCGCGGAAAGAAAATAGAGCCTGAACAGTTTTTTTTTTGGAAAGCCGGGCGTCTCTGAGTGTCATAAGAGCAGTGCGAAAAAAAAATAGAGCCCGAAAAATTGTTTTTCCGCAACTGCAACCCATCTAACAGGATCTGTCAATGTCGTTTTCTTGTTTTCCTGTAGTCTGCCTTTTCACAATCACACCGCGTTGGAAGTAGCACGTGCGAAAAAAACATTTTTTCGGAGCTGGAAAAATTGTTTGTGCGCAAAGCCTCAATTTTCTTCTAGTTTTCGGGGAAAACAATGTTTCAGGTCCCCAAGTCTATCCACATATCGATTTTGCATGGATTGGAAGGAGTCCAAGCATGTGCGAAAAAAACAATTCTTCGGAGCTTGAAAAATTGTTTTTCTGCAAAGCCCGATTTCATCCCATAAGACCATAAGGGGTCACGCCACAAAAAAAATGAACCGCAAAGGGGAACTGCAAACCTCACGTATAAGCAGTAATTTAAGAATTTGGCAATCCTATTCCAGGGCCCTTCAAATTTTTAAAGTACTATGTGTTTGGTATACCTGAAAATATGTAGCCCGCCTTGGACCCGAGCCCCTTAAATTCTTATACAGTGAATTCTTGTACAATACTTAAGCTGTACTTTGTGTGGAGATCTGGATTGTGGCTCGGTGACGTTGGCGTTCACATCACCCTTCACAGGTGCTGTTCTGACTAACGGAGAATTTGCCAGCTCTGCTTCGTTTACGCCTGACGTACGGGACTTTTGCTCACAGGCTCTTGGGCGTCCGCCTCTAGCCATCACCTTCCTCGATGGCGGAAGAGTCGTGGCATTCGATGCTCCGGTTTCTAGCCTGGCAAATGCAACTGGGCGTGTTGACGTAGTTATGCATCATCCAATCGCAGCAGCCTGGAATAGTAAGATGTTGCGTGCCATCAAAGCAGATGACGCTAGAGTGGTGCAGAAATGTCTCTGCGACGGGCAAGACCCAAACACTGCGTTTCCAAACGGCTTCACCGCACTGTCATACAGCGCAAGCAATTCTGCAACTGCCTGTGTGACTCTGCTCCTCACCACCAAAGCAAGTCCAAACATTCGTGGCTTGAATGGCAATACTGCCTTGCACCATGCAGTTTATAGAGAAGACACGCAGGCGGTTCAACTGCTCTTACAACATGGAGCAGAAGCAGACGCGCTGGATGCCAGAGGGACAACCTCTGCAAACTGGGCATCGGAAGACTGGGGCTTCGCTGGTCCAACCATATTGACTTGTCTTGTGGAATCCAATGCAGACCTGCATCTGCAAGACAGAGATATGGACACTCCATTTGCTTTGGCCACGGGTTCTGCGAGTAGCAGTCTTTCCGTGATTATGAGCGCAGTGTGGGATCGGCTTCGCTGGTTGGACGTGCTCGTGCGGCACGAGTGTTACTTGGCGGGGTTCGTGAACACAAATCATCTGCAACTTGCTTGCAGAACCACGGGCATGAAATTCGAATGGAACTTGGCTAGGTATATTGCACCTAGGAACACACTGGGAGGTGCAGATGCTCTTGCGCAAACAGATACAATGAGTTTGTCACATGCCCCAGCCATTAGGGGAATAAGTATGGGTACTGCAGATTTTTGTTGCACCTCTGGTCCCGACCTTGAGTGCCCACCCACACTTGAACTCGGTGCTTCCCAACCCGCTCAGTGACAAGTGTGGTGCGCAGGCCTTCTTGCAACAACTTTTGCCCATCATCTTTTTGATTGCAACGATAAAAAGCAAGGATTCTGCAACATTCAACAGTGGTCTCTCCACCGTCTCTGACCGCGTGCTCAAGATACGCCCTTCGATTTGTGAGTACATATTTTCTTGCCCTTCCCTTCGCACATCTTCTGGACAGAAGGGAGCAGCCCGTCGTATTCAACTACTATTCCTGTTGTCTTTGCCTTTGCCACTGTCTCCTGCAGCTTTGCGAGGCAAAATGAGCGGTCAGACAAGCCGTTGCAAAACATTTCCATTGAAGTGCAGTGAAACCCGCGACAATTATTTTCGGGATTTGTGGAAAATTACAAAAATGGCCCCTTACAGGTCCTATCTCAACTTAACATAACTGTGGAAACCAACCTCTCTATAGATGATTTACCCATTAACAATGATGAATTTCCATACCTATGCCTATGTTGAATTACCTGAGGGTATAGCATCAACAATAATCATTATTGATATCACCCACGTATTCTTGGAATTTGCCGAAAATGACGATCTAAACTTAGTGAACTGAACTACTGAACTCAAAGTCCCTGTTGGTTGATGACTTCCCTTTTTTTTTCGGGGATTAGATACCTAATGAATCGGATGATTATTTTCTTTGGGGAATGATACCATTTAAAAACCCCACACCAAGTTTCAGGGATGATGATATTATCTAACTATCTATAGTTCACGGATCAAACACCCAGACATACAGAAATATTTGTTGGGTATCACCAAAAATATATTGAATCCCCATATTGGGGATCCCCCCAAATGGCAGTTCCTTTTGTCAATTGGATCTATACCATAGATATAGGGGTTAACTATCCCAACTTGTGGTGGAGGTAATCCCCATAAAAGCAACTCCAACTGCTACCCCAAGCCAGGCATTCCAATCTCCACCCCACCTAGAGATATACTAACCAATACCAGCACCATGATCAACTATATAATTTTAACCACATTGTCACATAGCAATGATTACACAATTTTGGATTTCAAATGTTACAATGATCAACATGAACTATGTAATCATTGCAATGACCATGAATTCCATTTCATTACCATGAAACAAACCCATAGATTTACAAAATTCGACAAACACATGCAGTTTAACTTCTCATTAACATTCAAACTCAAACAATGCAATAATTGACATGAACTACTCAGCAACTCATGATTACGAAAAAAAACTCACCATGAGTAACCAATCTTAACAATGATTTCCCATTCAACTTACTAATGAATAGACATCCCCAACCTTGGATAGGTAGTTTAATCCTTTAGTTTTTTTGCTTTAAACGGAACCAAAGCTTGACCATCAATCAAGACAAATCGTGGTAAGTCCAAACTCTTGATGTGACTATTCCTATGTTTTTTTAAATGATTGTTAGTAAATATCATGCGTTTTTGTTAATATGGTTCCAACATGTTCCAACATGAATACATGTATTTATATAGATATTATAATATATTCCCAGAAATATATTCCCAGTGATTATAATCATATTCCATTATTCCCATAATATATATTATATATTCTTATCATATTAGCAAACATGAACAGATACCCTCTGGTAATAAAACAGTTTGCTATTGAAAATGGTCATAGAAATATAGTTGATTTACCAAACTATACTGATTTTCCGTATTTTTTTTTGTTTACCAGAGTGGTACCATTTTTTTCGCCAGAATTCTCAGCCAGGTCCTTAGCGGTTTCCTCTTGGTTTCCTTTGCGGGGCCTCTCTGGACAACCGCCTTGCCACGCTGCCTGCGTTGCTTGGGACTGGAGGCCTCGAGCGGAGGCTCGTCCTGCGAAAGTTCGGTGACTGGGCGAAATGGCGGAGGACTTGGACGAAGCGACCTGTTTTTGGGATGATTGAACATGGTGATTTATAGTGGATTTACCCATTGAAAATGGTGATTTTCCATAGTTTCTTGTATCTTCCAGAGGCTATAATTCATATGGAAACAAATATGAAAAATGTTGGAAAACTTTGTTTTTTGGGAGGAACAACATGGAAAAAAGTTTTTTGGGAGGCAAAACATGGGATCATCTCGAAATGGAAAGATCATGTGTATATCTGGGTCAACCTAACGGTTAGATACTTTAGCACTTCAATTTCTTGGCAGGTATCTAAGACCTAAGATTCACGATGATAACCTCTGGTAATTTAACATAACTATTGAAAATGGCCATTGAAATAGTGGATTTTCCCACTATAAAATGGTGATTTTCCATAGTTATGTTAAATTACCAGGCCGGGTATCATGAGTGTAGGAGTCTTTTTTGAATTTGCGCAGATGGCTGGGGCTCGATAAAATGAATTAGTTTTACCAGCCCATTTGGCGGGAGAAGTGACTGCCGAATGCTTTGGTAATTGACCAACAAAAAGCAACCGAAGTGAACCCATGGTTTGGGTGAGATTTAATCAGCAACCAACAGTAAATCTCGATTGATAAATCTATGAACACAATGAATAGCAACAAAAAATTCGATGTTGCGAAACTCGAGTAACGTGATGGGTTTTTGCGGGTCGGTTCAAAGTTTGATCCCCCAAATATACGGTACCGGTACAGTACCCCATTCTTCAATTAGAGTTTTTAACCATATTTTTTTTTGATAGTTCATGTGTTGCACTCAATATACTTCAGACAATTTTTGTATAATCATATATATGTCGAAAAATCTCTATATGATCAATGAGAACATTTACGAATGACTTTTGGACTTTTCTTCCTGAAACCAAGGGCTTTGCAAAACATTTTTTTAGCCCTGAGGGGTGTGCAGCTTGTTGGAACAAATTCCAACGTGTTGCGCTGTTGAGGACAGCTGCGAAGACTGACGGCCGGAGACTGCCCGCTGATTTTGGTTGTCCCCACAGCTTGTACCAAGTAGCGGTGAGCGCAGCCGCTATTGCTAGTATTCTCTCATCTTTTTAGACATGTTTCGTAGAGAACCATTGATCATTGCTATATAGTCTTGAGCATTCATCACATTATTTGGGTTCAGTATGCCAATATTATGCCAATCATACCCAATCCCCTTCAAATTTTCAATGATGATTGATGATCCTTGGATGCGAATGTCACTTGTGAAATCCACAAGACTTGAGAAGTCTTTAAGCCATCCCCGAAAAGATCGAACCGTGAATTGACTCACTTTCTGACGCTTTCTGAGTCGGAATTTACAAAAATCTTTTTCGGGACTCATCATGATGCTTGTTTTGGATCCATTTGGATCCCTTACTACCCATAAATGAAGGAATACCAAGGAATGACAAGAGTTCAATAGGGTGTCAAAGGACACGAAACAATAGGATAGAACTGATAGAACCAATGTCAAAGTTGCCTTTGTGTGACACAAGTTATGGTGAGTAACCCTAATGTTGCTGTTTCTAAACTCTTCCAGTTGCTCTCCTTTTCCCCTAACATAAAAAAAAGCTCAAATCCTGGTCTATTAGTGGATCTATTCGTTTCCTGTTCGTTGTTGGGGGTTTCGGAGGTATTTTATCAGGATAGGCTCGTGGGACTATTTAAGCGAGTCACCTGGTAGATGGTTTCCGCTGGTAAGCTCTGGACTGAGAAGAGCGGTGCCTTTATCATCCCATGATTGGGTGTGATTGAGCATACGTGATGATGGCTCACGTCTTGAGAAGGCTTGCTTCGCCACCAGGGCGACTTGCAAAACAGTGCTTGCTTCGCCGGGGTCCCGAAGATGAGCTACCAGGATCTACCATTTCACCCGGAGATGCAACAAGTTGAAATGTTCTCGGACATTTCATTTGCCCCTGCGGGCGAAAGATCACTGCAGGGTATCCTAAGTTTTTATGGTGGAGGGCCGATGTCGGCCGACCCAGAATTTTGAATCGGAAGATCATCCAAATGAATTGAAAACTAGGGATTTCTATGGATTTCTTAAGGCACGGGGGATGCCCTGTCGTAAAACCATGGTTGTTTCAAGTTTCGAGCGGTCATGGTCCACAACTGATGACTACCCCATTTGGGCAAGGAAACAGCTGGAGCTTTCCTGCCTTGCAGGAGCCTGGTTGACGTGGCTGCGATTGGTGGTGAATTGAGAGGTGGTTGCTAAACCTCTGTTGCTTGATGATTAGTTCGGGGATTATACTAATACCAATTTTTTTGGGGGTATTATAATAATCCAAGAACGGGGAATCCCTATAAACCCTCCAGTATACTGAAATGATAGAGGGATTTTGAACGCTGCTCAATTAACGATGGTTTATTATTATGATATATCGAACATGATTGAACTACAGGCAAAAGTCAAAGTCGTGCCAGAGCACCCAGAGCATAGTCGGAGAGCAAACCAGGAACCGCCCGGAGACAGAAGCAAACTCATGCGGCCCAGGAATGCAACCCTTTCAAAGGAGCAAGAAGCCCATGCAGGTGAACCAGTTTGGGTAAGAAAGTGGGCAAAGAAGAAACCTTGCATCGCGAGGGCAAGGAGGAACAAAAACAGCAGAAATGAAAGGGTGACATTGTCGGATCCCTGTAGTGTCTATAGTAGTTACTATGGATACAACACAATTAAAAAAAGATGTAACATGAACTACATGGGGGTTTCCTCAAATGGGGGTAACCCCTTAAATCATCCATTTATAGATCGGATGTTCCATTGTAAACCATCCAATGCTCACTTGGGGGGCCACCTCGTGGGGTCATTTTGAAGCGGCATGGCTATGAAGTGCTATGAATTGATCCCAGGCCAACGAAGAAAAATGGGATAACAGTGACAACATGGCTGAATGATGAAACAGAGGGGTTCAACCCAAAGCATGATATTAAGTTATTAATATTAAGAATTGAATGCGTGATATTATGACTTCAATGATGGGGATTGGATGAGAGCAAGAGTTTTCCCATTGATCAATTGAAAGAGGAGCCCCATCGCCAGGGCATTTTGGAGATTTTTGTGCCAGTGCCACTACAGGGCCCCATAGAGAAATTATGATCAGTGGGGCACTCCTGAAGATGCATTTGAAAAGACTAGGAGGTTAATTTTGCACGAGAAGAGACAGTAAAGAGGATGTCACAAGGACCAAATTTGGGCACTGAATGCAATGCGCTTAAAGACGTGAAACGCCGCTTGAAATGTGCTGACAGGGTGACCCCCCTGGAGTGGCCTGGACATGTCACCGGTGACCCAGGACTAGTCATCACTCAGGACGGCGAGATGGAGTTTATGTGGCCCTTTCTTGTGAAGGCTTCATCAACCTTTTTTTTGGTGAATCTCCATATATCTATCACTATCACCTACTTTTTTCGGATTTTTACGCAGCTGAAATTGTGATATCTATCAGATCACCGTGCTGGGAAAAACACACAGAAAAACTGATTTGCTGTTTTGCTGTTTTCATGGGCGATTGTTTGATGCAAAAAAAAACAAAAAATCGGGAAGTTGTGCAAACCCATATGGGCCTGGTCTTGGAGCAGCTTATGGACCTTATGGACCTTGTGGACCTTGTGGTAATGGGGCCTTTTCTGTGTGGGAACCATCTGGGAAGTAGAATTGTGGGGTGAATTCTTGGCATAGCATGTGCTTTTCGAAGCCAATGAAGGTGTATCATATCCCATTTGATGATTCAGATATGTTTCATTTTCCCTTCCTATTTTGTGGTGATCCACCATTGACACACAAAAAAACGATTCAATCACCATGTTAACTGGTTGGTGGTTTCAAACATGTTTTATTTTCCATAATACATGGGATAATCCTTCCCATTGACGAACTCATATTTTTCAGAGGGGTAGGTCAACCACCAACCAGTTACAATCTGTAGCTTACTTCAAGTTATGTCAGCTTTTTGTTGTTGGTTCAAGTGGTTCATGCCACCCCCAATCTTGTGATTCCTCGCATCTTCGGACATGTTGATCGTTGTTGATCCACCGGCACTGGGAAGCAAAAAACATTCCCTAAAAAAAGAACATGGAACCATATGGAACCTGATTTTTGGGGTCTGGACATATCTGGAAGATCATCGAATTCCTATTTGATCATAGATATTCATAGATATCTATTTGATTTGGCCCAGCCACTGGTTTCCATCGCAAAATACCCATCTGTATACCCTCTGGCAATTCACCATTTTTGAAATATGTGGTAATTATGGATTTTTCGCAGAATATCCTCGGAAAATACCATGGCTAGCCATTTGTAAGACCGCAAGACCCTTGGAGGGCTTGCCATCTCAGTCCCTGGGCGCAGGAAAACATCATCGACTGCGACAGTGGCGAGCGTTTTCAGTTGCTGGAGGCGGCTTTCTCGAAGGGCCAGTTATGGGTGAGATCCACAGAGTTAGGCGGAAAGTTCTGCGTTTATACTACCATCTTTACTCGATTGTTTTAATAGAATGGGCTAGCGCCCGGGTGCCGCCGACCCCTCCTTCTGTGGAGACAACGCTGGCGGGTTTGATTGAGGGCTGGCAAACGGCAGGCTTGAACGCCAAGAAAAAGCTATTGATGGGGCCTTGGTGCCTTGGCCTGCGGGGTTGGGGCTGCCAAAAAGGCATTTGGAGGGTTTGAGGGCTGGCAAACGGCAGGCTTGAACGCCAAGAAAAAGCTATTGATGGTGCCTTGGTGCCTTGGCCTGCGGAGCGTTTGGAGGGTTTGAGGGCTGGCAAACGGCAGCTTGAACGCCAAGAAAAAGCTATTGATGGGACCTTGGTGCCTTGGCCTGCCGGGTTGGGGCTGCCAAAAAGGCATTTGGAGGGTTTGAGGGCTGGCAAACGGCAGGCTTGAACGCCAAGAAAAAGCTATTGATGGTGCCTTGGTGCCTTGGCCTGCGGGGTTGGGGCTGCCAAAAAAGCATTTGGAGGGTTTGGAGCCTTTGAGGGCTGGCAACCGGCAGGCTTGAACGCCAAGAAAAAGCTATTGATTGCGGGGTTGGGGCTACCAAAAAGGCGTTTGGAGGGTTTGGAAGGTTTGACGGAAAGAGCCAAGTTCCACACCTCCGGTGGTCCCAGGCGCCGCCCCTGCCTTGGCAAAGGCCGGGGTCGGCGGATATACATATAATATGTAGATAGGATTATGTATAACAATCCATTTTCACTGGGAAATCCGTTGATCTGTTCTTGGCCAGCCAAGCAGGGACGACATTGTAGGGGTCCCATGAAAGCCGCACTAATTTTGATGATATTTTTCTGGTTGGTGGTTTGTTTTTTTTTTAGTGTTCCATCTATTGGGAAGAATAATCCCAACTGACTTTCATATTTTTCAGAGGGGTGGCTCAACCACCAACCAGATGATATTTTTTCATAGGGAATATAATCTATAAATTTGGAGATGTCATGGGACAATTTCATGATATATTATCATGTTTTTCCAACCACATGATATTTGGGTATGGCTGAAAATGAAGGTATACCCCAATTTATGGCAATTTTCACATCGGGAAGTTTTGCTGAACAACATGTTGGCTACAAATTGGCATGCGAAGTTTTAATCATTGACCCTTTGGTAAACATACAAAAAGCTATGGAAAATCACAATTTTTAATGGGTAAATCAATGAACTAAATGGGCCATTTTCAATAGCAAACTGTTTGTTTACCAGAGGGTACATATTTTTTGTACCCAGCTCGTTTTTGGTTGGGCGTTTCAGATTGGCACTGGGTTTCGTTGACTTTCCCATGGATTGAATCACGCTCGTGCACCTAATGGACTCTAAGATATCACACATTTTCAATGGATATCTATTGGAATCAAGGTTACAGTAGTGACAATGGAGGTTGCATATGGAGGTTTCCCAAATTGCGGGTACAGGTACCCGTATCCATGTTATTTTCGGATTTTCCATGACATAAACCCTCCAGCTATTGGGCCCATTTATGGAAAACCACATTTTTTGTTGGGTATAAAATTAGGATACCCTTTGGTCAACTAACAGTTTGCGAATTGGAAAATCACGATGTTTACCCTCTGGTAAATTAACATAGACCCTGAAAATAGCTTATAGTCATATAGTTTTAATGGAAACTAATCTTCCAAACCCTATCTGCCAGTGTCGAACTGTTAATTTACCAGAGG